GATCTCGCGAGCACACCAGCTGGTCATGGAGGGGTACAAGTGGATGTTCAACGAGGCCCTCGTGACGGTGTGGTCTGCCCCCAACTACTGCTACCGGTGTGGGAACGTCGCGGCCATTCTCGAGTTCGACGAGAATCTGAAGCGGCAGTTCCGGATCTTCGAGGCGGCCCCCGCAGAGGTGCGGGGCGTGCCGGCCAGGAAGCTGGTCCCCGATTACTTCCTGTAAGCCGCCCGCGGAGCCTCCCCCTCGAGGTGCGGAGGCGCGGCGGCCCGTTCGCTCCCGAGCAGCCGGGGCGGGGCAACGACCCCGGAGGCTCCTGAGAGCGACTGCGCATCGGAGGTCCTGAGAGGGGGAGGAGGAGGAGGAGGAGAAGGAGGAGGAGGAGGAGGAGGAGGAGGAGGAGGACGTTAAGACGCTGCCTGAGCGAGGCAGAAACGGCAGAACGAGAGAGGAGGAGGAGGAGGAGGAGGAGGAGGAGGAGGAGGAGGCAGGAGGAGGAGGAGGAGGAGGAGGAGGAGGAGGAGGAGGAGGATGGAGGGAGAGGAGGAGGAGGAGGAGGAGGAGGAGGAGGAGGAGGAGGAGGAGGAGGGGGAGGAGGAGGAGGAGGGAAGGGGAGAAACTGGGCAAGGGGGAGGCGGTCTGGGACCCCGAGGAGCCTCCCGTGCTCTGCCGGCTGCGGCCCGGCGAGGAAACGCTCTGGTCCTCCTCCTTGGCCTCACCGCTCTGCTCCTCCTCCGTGGCCTCACCCTCTTCTTCTTCTTCTTCTTCTTCTTCTCATTATTTATTTATTATTATTATTATTATTATTATTATTATTATTATTATTCTTATTCTTCTTCTTATTCTCATTATTCTTATTATTCTTATTCTTCTTCTTCTTCTTCTTCTTCTTCCCTCTGCTGGCAGCGATCTGCAGCGGCTCATCCTTGACGTGGCAGCTGCTTGCGGGGCTCAATTGCGTGAAAGAGTCCTCTCGTGATGCTCCCTGCCCCGCCCCTGATGCTCACCCCGATGCGCGCGCCTGCTTGGGGGGCACTGCTCGTACGGCATGGGGGTCGCCCCCCCCCCCCCGCCCACCCTCGGGGGACGTCAGCTGACCACCTCACCGATTCTGGCTGGGCCGATCCTGGGCCCAGGATCGGTGTCCACGCCTCCCTGGCCGAGCCGGAGAAAGGGGAGGAGGAGGAGGAGGAGGAGGAGGAGGAGGAGGGGAGGAGGAGGAGAAGGAGGGTGAGGAGGAGGGGGAGGGGAAGGGGGAGGGAAGGAGGGGAGGGGGAGGGGGAGGGGGTGGGAGGGAGAAGGAGGGAGGGAGAGAGGAAGGGAGAGGGAAGAGGAGGAGGAGGAGGAGGAGGAGGAGGAGGAGGAGGAGGAGAACGTCCCTCAAAGGCGACGGAGCGTGCCTCCCCTCGAGTATTCTTATTGGTTTTATCATGCAGTCGTTCTGGCATTGATTTTGATGCGTATTTATTTCCCTGGGCAAAGGCAGCAAAGCGCCCAGTCTATCATTGTACGTATTCTGTTATCTCTTGGCAGATGGGCAGCAAGATTGACTCGAGTACCACGGGTTTGTGCACCATTGAGGCATGCAGCACAAGCAGTACTACGTCGACCAGCACGTGGGAGCCGAGTACCACAGGCCCGCGCACCGCGGAGACAAGCACTACCATGTCGACCAGCATGACTGTGCCGAACACCACAGGTGCGGGCGCCACTGAGTCAAGCACGGCCACCTGTACCAGCAAGACTATGTCGAGCACCACAGTTTCGAGCACGACCACGGCGGGTACCACAGGGCTGTCCGTGGCGAAGAGCGCCCGCGACGACAAGCACTATGGCGTCAGGACTCAAGTCCTGAGGAAGCCCCGAATGAATGGGAACACCTCAGGCAGCGTCGCCAAGTTTTGCATGAGGCGTTAGGACGCAAGTCCTGGGGAAGCCCCGAATGCGTGGGAACACCCCAGGCACAAATCGCTACGTTTTGCGGTATGTACTCAGGCAGTGATCGCACGTATACAACTCAGTGGTTACCGGCTGGCCAGACGGTACTTGACTCTTACGACCATGCTGCACCACCGATCGACCATCACCCACATCCCTTGTATGGCCCACCACACCTCTTTACAAGTCAACGCTGCCCTGGTGAGGCATGGATCAAACTTCGAGACGAGCTCGAAGGGTGGGGGGGAAGGACGAGTACTACCCGCGCCTACCAGGGTGAGGGGCAGGGGGGGGGTAGGACGTCCACTACCTGCGCCCCCGCGGTCCGCCCTAGCTCGCCACCCCCACCATCCCCACGGCGGAGGAGGAGCCACCCGAGCGCCCATGGGCGAAGCGCAGGGCAGCCGAGACATCCCACTCCGACAGAAATATGCACCAGGCCTGGGGTTCGCCCCCACCGAGGGCACTGTGACCCCTAGCCATAGCGGGACGAGGTGGGGCCGCCACGACCCCCAGTTGAAGTCGGTGCATGGAGGCCTCATATGTGCGCCCACTACCCATACCACAACACCAGCAACAAGCCGACCTCCCAACGACCCACCAACCAGCACGCACGACAAGCAACTACAAGGGCTGGGGAGCTCCCCAACCGACCATCCACACCACAACCACCTCCCGACATCAGCGCCGACCAGCACGGCCGTGTCGAGTATCACATGATCGAGGATCACCGAGACAAGCACTATGACATCAACCAACGCGTCTGGGTCGAGTACCACAGGCTTGGCATCACAGTTTCAGGCTGTACTACGACGACCAGCATGATTGAGTCGAGTACCGCAGCTCGTGAACCACGGAGCCAAGCCGTACTACGATGACCTAGCACGCCTGCAGTGAGAAGCACAGCTTCGAGCACTGCAGAGTCAAGCAGTACCACTTGACCTGCACGACTGGGTCGAGTACCACAGATTCACGCACTACAGAGTCAAGCAGTACCACAAGTTCGAGAACTACGAGAAGCCGCCGCCGTGCGGCCGCCGGCCCACGAAGAGGCCGACGGCCTGGCCGTGCGCCGTGCGACTGACGCCCGCGGCCGCGGGCGCGCGCGGCGCCAGCCAAGGGCCCTGTCGGGCCCCCCTTTTTTGAAAACCCGGCCCCTCTCCCCTCCTCCGAGGTATTCTTTGGTCCCTGGTCCTCTCTCTTCCTCGGGGTCGGGTTCCCGGGGCCGCCGTCTGAGCGCCCGCACGGCCCTGGTGGGCTGCTGCGGTGCGCTCCGCGCCGCGGGCGCAGGATAAGACGCTGCCTGAGGGAGAAACGGCAGAAACGGAAACGGCAGGAGGAGAACGAGGAGGAGGACGAGGAAGGGTGGGAAGGAGGGATGAGGAGGTGGAGGAGGAGGGGGAGGAGGAGGAGGAGGAGGGGGAGGAGGAGGGAGGAGGAGGAGGAGGAGGAGGGAGGAGGAGGAAGGAGGACCAGGGTGTATGCGCGGATCCTGGGCCCAGGATGTGCACGGCCGGTCTCGTCGCGGTGGTCGGCCGTGCCGCGCCGCGCCTGCGCCCGCCCTCGCCCACCCGCGGCGGCGGCCAGGGCCCAGGCTGGCAGGGCCGACGGCGGCCAGCAGCGGGGAGGGGCTCCTGAGGGAGAGGGTCGGCGTCGACAGTGGGACGGAGGTACAAGATCGAGGTCGGTTCGGGGAGCGTACCCCAATTCGAAGAAGAACACATGCCATAAACATAAACTTTTGGCGATCCGCGCGGATTTCTTGGATCCGCGCTGGGCCCTCCCCAGCGGCGCCGCCGGCGCCGCCCCTGGCGCGCTCCGCGCGCCAGGCAGGGGGGTACAGCGCGGATCCAAGAAATCCGCGCGGACCTCCGAGTTTTTATGGTTATGTGATTTGTTGTGCCCCTAATAAGATCGAGGTCGGTTCGGTGAGGTTGCCCTAATGTGCTTCGTACTTGTTGGATGTTCTTGTGCATCGTGGGGATGGTACCCTTGGATGTTCTGTCTGTTTTGGCCGGCGGGGGGGTTCATGTTCCTGGAGGGTGTTGCTTTGGCCTAGGTCCCGCTGTGCAGTCTAGGCGTCCTACCTTCGAGCAGTGACGAACCGTCCAGGCTGACCGATAGGCTCACCGAAGAATGTTCTAAGAGCGCTCGGCGACTACAGTCTGTCCCGAGCGCGTTTCACTACTCACAAAGTGCCTACTCGCAAACGTCCGAAAGACACATGTCGCAAAACGTCTGAAACACATGCTCGCCTCGATGGAATGGGTCGTAAATCCGACGCGGCGGATCCAGGCCATTTTTGAGCAGTTACCTTGCGAGTGGTGGAACGCGCTTGTCTACAGACGGCGGCGGGACTTCTCAGACACCCTCTCGCCTTCTGGAAGGTTTTTTGCGTCTTCGGGGGAGGCTTATGAAACTTCTCAGAAGGCCAGGGGACTTCCGAGCCTTCTCACGCTATCCACTCCCCCGCCCCCCAGCGTCGGGATCCTGAGCCTTCTCGAGCCTCCCGCCCCGCGGAGCGCAGCGACATGCGATCCGCTCGCAGGGCCCAGCGTGTCGCCGGGGCCGTCGCGGCGACACGCTAAGCAGAAGTTCCTGACCTTCTGCCGGGGTGCGGTCTGCGATCGGCGCCGTTGGGGCGTAGGGGTCACCACGTCGCGCCGAAGGCTTGGTGAGCCCTCGTGAGGGCGCGGCAGCGATCTCTGTCGAGGCAGTCGCTCGTCTCCCAGGCGCGGGAACACACCACAGCCTTTGCACACCACGCCCTTCGGATTCGCCGCAACGGGCCCTTGGGTTGTGCACCGCTTTGGGCCTCCAGGGACCCTCCAGGGACCGTCCTGATGAAGAGAGCTGGTCCTCGAGGGCTCCAGGACCCGTTGAACTCCCAAGGCCCGCCTGCATCATATAACCAGTTCTGGCTGAGCAAAAACCGAAACATGTCGAGCCAATCGAAGAGCCTCCCTCCACCATCCTCGAGGGTCGAGAGTTCCTTGTTGGAGTTGGGGCAGCGGCAGCAGGATGAGGAGGACGAGCAGGAGGAGGAGCCACACCTCGCCAGGTGGGCGACGCTGGCGCCGAGGCGCCCCCATGCGCGCGATCTGGCCTCTGGGCTCTTCCTCCCCTGCCGCCTCTCACGTGCTCACAGGATCCTCTTGCCCGTTCGTGCTCTCCTCCCCGCCGTCTCTGCTCAACATGTCCCTTGTCATCTCCTACTTTCTCTCATCCTCTTGCCACCGCGGTAACGCCATGGCCGCAGCGTCATCCCTCATTGCTCATCCTGCTGCTTATGGCGAAGCTGACCCCTCCGTACCACGCAGCTCGGCCCTGCATGTGGCCGAAGCCCGCTGCGAGGCTATGAGCCCGTCGTGAGCACCAAAACCAATAGGTACTGGCACTCCTCCTCCTCTTTCTCCTCCGCCGCCTCCTCCTCCTCCTCCTCCTCCTCCTCCTCCTCCTCCTCCTCCTCCTCCCCCTTTCTCCTCCTCCTCCTCCTCCTCCCCCTCCTCCTCCTCTTCCGGTCGCCCGAGCGGAGTGCCGCGGCGGACCCACGCCATCTGGCGGGCCCAGCGGCGACAGCGATTGCGCCCGGCGGACCCGACCCGCCCACGCCTTGATTCGTGGGCCCCCATCTCGTGCGGTGACCACACCGTGCAGTGAGTCAGTGGGGATTCTGGCTGGCCGCACAGTCTTGAAATTCTGTTCATTCTCCAAGGTCTCGGGCGATTGGAGCATCGAAGGTCCCCACAACCGTGCGGTGAGGTTTTCATGCCCACCCTCCCCCAGGCAGCCTTCGCAGCAATCTGGGGCGGAGACGATTTCTATTTGGTGTCAGGTTGGTTACGCTAGAACCGTAGGGCAGGGGCGGAATAGCACATCCCAGGCGAACACATGGTGCGCTATGAAGCTTCACATATGCGGCATGGCCTCACAACGCTTGAGCAACGTATGGCCAACCTCCCCCAGCCGGGCTGAGTTTCCTGTCTTTTGTCTGAGAAGGTTGTTTTGCTCATTGTATGTCCTAAGCCGTGACTGCAAGTAGAGGCCTTTGCATGCGCCTCAACGATTTGTTCCTGTATTGCGGGGTCGGGTCGCTGTTGCCGCCGTGGGACTACCGTCGCTGGGGCTCCAGGGGTTCAGCCACATTGGGTCCCACTCTTGCTGCGCTAATGAATTGTTCGTGGCCTCTGCTCTGGCATCATCGATCGGGGGGCGACTCTTTGGCGTAAGCTTCGGCTGTTTTTCAAACAGGTTTGCCCGAGTATTTCCTCGCCACTTAGAGTTGGTCCTGGTACCCTGGCCCCACTTTGACCTTGCAAGGTGTTGGGTATTCCAACATATTCCAAGAGCATGCCTTCAGAGCCTGTGGATATGGCCACGGAATATGTGCATGCCGATCGCTTTTCTCTATCAATGAGGTCCATTGGAGCCTAATGGACTTCAGTCGAGTGAGTCCAATGGAGTCCACTAGAGTTAATTTGGGCCTTGTGTATTCCAATGTAGTCTGGTAAAGTCCGATGGAGCCGAGTGGATCACTGGAGTCCAATGTAGTTCCATAGAGTCCAACGGAGCCCAGTGATGTTCAATGAAGCCCAACGGAGACCATCGGACCAATGAAGTCATCTGGAGTCCATCTGAGTTCACCGAAGCCCCTTGGGCCAATGGAGCCCAGCCCAACTGGGCCTTATGGAGTCCATGGGAGGCCTATCGAGTCCAATGGGGTGCACCGGGGTCCGCTAGAGTCCACTGGCGAATGGAGTCCAATGGAGTCAGCTCGAGTCCGACGAAGTCCATTGGACCCATCCAGCCCAATGGAGAGCACTGGAGTCTAATGGAGCTCAATGGGGGCCCATGGACCAGTGGGGCCCATTGACTCTTAACACAAGTGATGGTATCCATTAGATTTCATTGGACAACTCCATTGGACTCCGTAGGACTCAATTGAGCTCCCATGGCCAAATGGACGCCATTGGACTCAAGTGGGCTCTCTTGGATTCCATAGGACACGATGTTTACCCACCGAGGCCATCGCGAGGGGCCTGCACGACAACTTCACGATGAGGAAGTTGCACGTCGCGCGCAACGGTATCGGCCCACGTGGCGCGAAGGCCCGCGGTAGACGGCAGCAGCATGCAGCAGCCCATTGCCCGCGGCATCGCCTTGGCGTTGACGTTCATCGAAGTAGCTCCAGTGCAGTCACAGAGATTCGTTTGGGGACCGCTCTTCCTCCTCCTCCTCCTCCCCTTTCCTCTTCTTCGCCCTGAGGCGGGTGGGCGGGGAAGCAACCATCTCACCCGCCCAAAGATTAAGATGTCAATCTCACGGTCACTTCGATGGATTACACGTTGATTTGCTGTGGGACGTGGACACCGCCGCAAACGCCGCGACAGAAACATTGATGCGCATTCTTGTTTTCAAGATTTTGATCGGAATGCCAGGGCGGAACCTGGGTCAGATGACAGATCTGAGCCTGGTCGCCTTCCAGAGTGCGGCTTTGCTCAACGGAAGGCCCCCCTAAAAAATTGCTTTACCGGTGGAATATTAAGTTTTAGGACACCATTCACAGCGGCGTTGGGAACAGCGTCAAACATAGCAATGAAGGTGTCAAGATTGAGCCAGATTGGCTTAACAACGAGACCGCATTGGTGAATGCCACTCGTATTTTTAGAGAAAATGGCGTCTCGGAAAATCCAAGAATGCGCACCCCAGAATGGTCTCGCAGGCGGGCCGACGCTTCAATTCTCAGCTCTTTCCGCGATGTGGGTTTCATTCGTAGTCCGCCATCTCACCGAGGATTGGATACGGAAGGGGCGTTCGCTAAGAAATGTGCCCAGGAGGCTTCAGACCCTGGAGGATTCCTTGCCTGACCAGGGCGGCGGAGATCAGAGTGAGGGGGCCGAAGGGTCTTGCTTCGTTCCTGGGTGCGCGGCCAGTCTTGGGCCCCCCGGCGTAGAGTCTGCTTGTTGTTGCTGTTGTTGAAGTCTGCTCTGGCAAATTACTTATGTAGAACCCGCCCCTCCAGTAACATGTGTGTTTCAGTTGAAGGGCCCTTCTCGGGGCTCGTATCCTCCTGTTGTGTACCGAGGGGAATCATTGCGCCGCAGACTCTGCCCCAGGCCGCCATGCCCCCAGCTTACAGTAACAGCAACAACGGCTCTCGCCGGAAACTTCCTCACAAGTTACCCGAGGTCGCGTTCTCGCGCGGGACATCCTCACAATTAGGCGGCGCACCCGCGAGGCTTCTCGCCGTCGCGGCTGGATCCGCTTCAAGGTGTTCGCCAGAGCGCACCACTGGACAGGTCTGGGGCCTGGCTTTCGAACGGGAAGAGACACGATGATCCAGGCCTCCGTCGCCAAAAAAAACATTGGAAATAACTGTCCTCCAAATTTGACATCCCTGGGACTTGGACCCAGGCCCTGGAGCCAGCCACGAAATTTCTCGGGATGAAACGCATGTCCCCTGTCCCCAAGAATGGGCCGGATGGCTCAGGGATCAGCGGTTTCAACAAGTCGAGTCGTCCGAGATTTGGGGTCTTTGTTTTGGACGCTCTGTTTGCAACGGGGGCGCGTAGTGGGGGGGCGATAATTTGGGGGGCAGCGAGGGCTGCCAAAAGGGTCCCTTTAGGGCCCGTGAAGGGCACCTTTCTTCCCCCCCATGCACCACCAATGAAATGGAAGACGATGAGGACGAGGACGAGGATGAGGACGAGGACAGAGCCATCAAACTCGCCTCTTGGAGCCCTCTTGGGACTCTTTTTGGGGATCTTGGGGCTCTTTTGGGGGGTCTTGGGGTCCTCTTGGGGCCTCCTGGAGCCCTGATGGGGTTCCACTGGGAGCCCTGGAGGGCCTCTTGGGACCATCTTGGAGGCCATCGATCAAAAGGGCGGGGGGGGGGGGCCGATTTGCGTTGCCCCCCTAGGAGCGAGGGGCGGCGGCGGGGGCCGCGGCGGCGACGACGGCGGAGAGCAGCGAAGAGCGAGCAGTCTGGAGAGCATCGTTGCTGTTGATATTGTTGTTGCTGCTGCTGCTGCTGCTGCTGTTCTTGACTTTGTCTGCCTCTTGTCGGCCTCGGGGGGCCTCCGGAGGCCACTGGGACCTGCGGGGGCCCCCATGGGGACCGGAGACCACGGCGCCCGCGGCGACGACGACGACGCTGACGGCGGACGACGGCGGCGGCGTCGACGCCACGGGGCGGGTGCCCGACCCAGACCCCTGGCGGACTGGTGCTTCAGTCTCGGCACTCCTGTGTCCCCCCTTGTCCGCCCCTCCTTGGGCCCGCCGAGATGCATCGAGCGGCAGCGCCGGCTTTGTTGGAAAGCCGGCTTTCGGCGGCGAGCAAGAGCCCCCGTCCCGAGCAGAAAAAAAAGAAGAAGAAGAAGAAGAAGTAGAAGAAGAAGAAGCCGTATCCTGAGCATCATCATCATCATCATCATCATCATCATCATCATCATCATCATCATCATCATCATCATCATCATCATCATCATCATCATCATCATCATCATCATCATCATCGTCGTCATCATCATCATCATCATCATCATCATCGTCATCGTCATCATCATGATCATCATCGACATCAGCGACGTCATCATCACCACCGTCATCATCATCGTCATCGTCATCACCCAATTCGGCACACCCCTCACACGTTTCGTGGCCCCATAGGGAGCTCCACCGAAGGCCCCAGTGCTGCCGCCCGCATGCGTCACGCACACCCAAGTCGGCACACCCCTCACACGTTTCGTGGCCCCATAGGGAGCTCCGCCGAAGGCCCCAGTGCTGCCGCCCGCATGCGTCACGCACACCCAATTCGGCACACCCCTCACACGTTTCGTGGCCCCATAGGGAGCCCGCCGAAGGCCCCAGTGCTGCCGCCCGCATGCGTCACGCACACCCAATTCGGCACACCCCTCACACGTTTCGTGGCCCCATAGGGAGCTCCACCGAAGGCCCCAGTGCTGCCGCCCGCATGCGTCACGCACACCATTCGGCACACCCCTCACACGTTCGTGGCCCCATAGGGAGCTCCACCGAAGGCCCCAGTGCTGCCGCCCGCATGCGTCACGCACACCCAATTCGGCACACCCCTCACACGTTTCGTGGCCCCATAGGGAGCTCCGCCGAAGGCCCCAGGCCGCCCGTGCTGCCGCCCGCATGCGTCACGCACACCCAATTCGGCACACCCCTCACACGTTTCGTGGCCCCATAGGGAGCTCCACCGAAGGCCCCAGTGCTGCCGCCCGCATGCGTCACGCACACCCAATTCGGCACACCCCTCACACGTTTCGTGGCCCCATAGGGAGCTCCACCGAAGGCCCCAGTGCTGCCGCCCGCATGCGTCCCCACACCCAATTCGGCACACCCCTCACACGTTTCGTGGCCCCATAGGGAGCTCCACCGAAGGCCCCAATGCTGCCGCCCGCATGCGTCACGCACACCCATTCGGCACACCCCTCACACGTTTCGTGGCCCCATAGGGAGCTCCACCGAAGGCCCCAGTGCTGCCGCCCGCATGCGTCACGCACACCTAATTCGGCACACCCCTCACACGTTTCGTGGCCCCATAGGGAGCTCCACCGAAGGCCCCAGTGCGGCGCTCTCATGCGCATGCGTCACGCACACCCAATTCGGCACACCCCTCACACGTTTCGTGGCCCCATAGGGAGCTCCACCGGAGGCCCAGTGGCGGCGCTCACATGCGTCACCCACACCCACCCAATTCGGCACACCCCTCACACGTTTCGTGGCCCCATAGGGAGCTCCACCGGAGGCCCCAGTGGCGGCGCTCACATGCGTCACCCACACCCACCCAATTCGGCACACCCCTCACACGCTTCGTGGCCCCATAGGGAGCTCCACCGAAGGCCCCAGTGGCCGCGCTCCCCGCCACCCATCCCGGCACGCCCCTCACACGCTTCGTGGCCCCATAGGGAGCTCCACCGAAGGCCCCAGTGGCACCGCCCGCATGCGTCACCCGCACCTAATTCGGCACACCCCTCACACGTTTCGTGGCCCCATAATTAGGGAGCTCCACCGAAGGCCCCAGTGGCGGCGCTCACATGCGTCCCCGCCACACATCCCGGTACACCCCTCACACGTTTCGTGGCCCCATAGGGAGCTCCACCGAAGGCCCCAGTGGAGGCACTTACATGCGTCTCCGCCACCCATCCCGGCACACTCCCCGCATGTTTCGGGGCCCCATAGGGAGCTCCACTGGAGCCCCCAGTGGCGGCCCTCACATGCGTTTCCGCCACCCATGTCGGCACACCCCGCACGTGTTTCATGGCCCCATAGGGAGCTTCACCGAAAGCTCCAGTGGAACCCATCTCGGCACACCCCTCACACGTTCCGTGGTCCTATGGGGAGTTCCACTGAAGATGAAACCCACAGCTGCGGCACTGACAACTGCATATGGTTGGGTTCTTCGCCAGGCTAATTTTTACAATTGACTGCCCCTCCCGGGGCTCGCATTCTGTTTTTTGTATCAGGGAAAGTCTTGAGACTCAAACTGTGTCTTTGGCCCCTAGTTTACAACGACAACGGCTCCCGCCTGATACTTCCTCAGAATGTATAAAAGAATCGCGCTTTTGCTTGGGACTTCCTGGCAATGTACCACCGAATCGCGGCTCCCGCTTGATATGTTTTACAATGTATTGGAGAATCGCGTTCTCGCTTGGACTTCCTCGCAACTTACCACCGAACCGCTTCGCTTGATATTGACTCAAAATTTATTCAGATGCTGGTCGTGGACACTCAGGAGTCGCGCTCCCGCTACATATTGCCCAGCGGTTCAAGCAGGACTCAGGCTTCAACGACCCGCCCGCTCGACCCGCCAGTCGGGGCCTGCCCGCCCGACCAGCATGTCAATGACTGCAGTCGTCGCTCGCTGCCCTATGCCCGCCTTCGATGCCCCTCGCTGCCCGTACTGGTTCCGCTGTCGCCTTACTCCCACCCGTCCTCCCAAAACATAAGTAACACCCGAGCCTGAGCATGTTCAGCTGTCGTCTTTGGATGGACAGCTACTGGGAACCAACCCTGACCCACAGTGCGCGACGCTGGGGCGAGGTGCGCCACGCGTGCCAGGCGCGCCACGCGCGCCCGGCAC